CTCCTTAGACACACCAAAGATGAACCGGCTATTTCCTCTGTCACCGTAGAAGCACTTCACCAGCTCCACAGACACGAGTTTCACAAGCCAAACAAGAACACACAAGTCTCAATGATTTCTGAGATCTAGAACACTAGGGAAGAGTTGCTGTTGATGGAAAATGAGAGCCTATTTATAGACTCACGCAAATACTCTTTCGTTCTTCGTTTCCAGCCATGTAACGCTTTTAATCGATTAATACAAGTGTTAGTCGATTAAAAGGAGTACAACGGCTAGTTTTCAAATGTCAAAAAACTCCAACAATCATCTTTAATCGATTATTTTAAGGATTAATCGATTAACTAATCGATTAAAATAGGTATTAATCGATTATTTCCATGCTAGTTGAGTTTTCAGCACCTGCAACGTTTTAATCGATTAATACTTGATTTAACCGATTAAAACCGTGTGTTTTTGACTCTGAACAGAAAATACAAAGTACGAAAGTACAAGAATCAAAACCTACTACAAATCTAAGTTCTAAACCTTAAAATATAATTATTACAAAAGCTTTTTATAACAAAAACAAGTCTTCAAAGGATCTTCATGAATCTTGATATATCTTGACTTGATTTGGACATCATCAAAACTTCATCTTCATCATTTTGCTAACATATTTTTGAAATCCTTTTTCAATTTGTTATGAGCTTTATCTAAATTTTCAGATTCTACTATTAAAGCAACATAAGTTTCATGCAGTTCATCTTCACTAATTTGACTATAATTATCAGAATCGCTAGATGTACTTACTTGGCTTCCAGCGTCGTCGTTCACCACTAAAGAGATGTTTGCTTCTTCATCAGATTCACTCAAGTCAGAAATTGTTTCGTTGTCATCGTCTCATGCGATGTAGGCTTTCTTTTTCTTGAAGTTTTTCTTTTACTTTATTTCTTCATTCTTTTTTTGATTTGGGCAGTCCGCTTTTAAGTGCCCCCTTTCTCCGCAACCATAAAATTTATAGTGTGAGGAAGATCTTTGATTTTCTTTCTTTTCGAATTTTAACTCTTCCCTTGTGCTCTATATCTCATAAATCATTGAGACTTGTGTTCTTGTTCGGCTTGTGAAACTCGTGTCTGTGGAGCTGGTGAAGTGCTGCTACGGTGATAGAGGAAATAGCCGGTTCATCCTTGGTATGTCTAAGGAGGTGTTCGGAAGAGGAAGTTCATCCTTCATGAAGTATTCGGAGGAGGTGTTCATCCTTTGTGAAGACTCAAAGGAGGTGCAAGTTCATCTCTTGTGGTATCAAGAGAGGTGGTTTCTAAACTTTTATAAATTATTTATTTGTGATTGTATTTTGTAATTGTTTTGTGAGTAGTGAAGTGTTTATCTTGTTTTGAGATAAGCGACTAGATGTAGGATTGGTAAAATCCGAACCAGGATAAAATTATCTGTGCAAATTTCTCTCAACCTTACTCTCTTTATTTGTTATTATTATTTGCTTGGTAAGTAAAATTGAGTAGAAATTAAAAGACACACGATAGTACTAAAAAATCTCTTGGTTTGTTATTTAACCAATCACTAAAACTAACCAACAACTTATAATCGCAGAGAACAAAGTTAAGATTAGAAAACACCTTCTTTGACACACAAATAATGAACAACACATCCTTTGACATAAAGGATGAACATTTTTCCTAACAACAGTAGCAACACTCAATCACTTAACACACTCAGTGAAAGTTTTCGCTCTATCCACACTAAATTTTTAAAACCCCATTTTTCACAAACATTGAGAGTTCTAGCACACAAATCTTAAACCTTTGAGTAAAAAGTTCTTTTTTGAAATTAAGTTTAGGTAAAATATGTATAGTTCCTTATTTTGAAAATTAAGTCAGAAAACTCAAGAGTTTATTCATAAGTTCCACTAACATAAGTGGTAAACGATTATTCCAAAAACTATTTCAGGAATTATTTTTCAATATAATAATCGATTATTTCATATGCTTTTAGGTGAATCTAAAATTATTTGGGATAATAGATTGATAATCTATTATCACAAAGGTTTTTATGAAAAATAAAACTTCTTTTTGAATGTTTTGATGCTTGAGTTGTGCCTATTGATTCTTGACCTACTAATATAAATAAAATACACAAATTACAAGACATGAACAATTAAATTCTTAAATCTCCAATATATCTCTTGAATTCTAACATTCTTTAAATCTTCAATACTTCTTCATGAATCATCTTTATCAAAACTCTTTATTTGAAACAAGATGTCCATCTTCTCCTTTTACTAACAATATAAAAAAATTACTGGAAAAATTATCAAAACAATAACAACTAAGTAATAGTATATAAAGTTAAATCAAATTTATTTAAGTATTATAATGTTTTATTATAATCATTTTACTTACTAATTGTTATAAAATATAAAGTTCATAATAAAAAGAAGAAAGAAAAACAAGATAGAATAAGAGACAACAAAAACTAATTATCTGTATCATAATACCGAAAAAAAAAATTATAAATACAAGATGCAACAAAAAAAAATTCTCGAATTAATAAATCAATAATAATTAAATTTAATTTCAATTCCTAAACTTTAACACGAAATTGAAATTCATTTTTGTTGGAAACTTTGTAGTTCAAACTTTAGAAAGTAAATAATTATTCAAACTAGATTACGAATTCAAATTTCATTTAACATCATTAGATTAAGAAGATTATAACAATTTTTTTTTAGTTGGGAGACCAAAATTTATCTAAATTTTAAATAAAAACAAATTCTAATTTTACATCCAAATTTAGAGAATAAAACCATATTTAACTTAATCAATGATATTTACTAATATTAGTAAAATATATTTTTATGAAATTAGTCATTTTTCAATGGTGTTATTAATTTTATTTTGCTATAATTCAATTTTATTACATTTTATTTAAGATCCAGACAGAATTATCTATGTATCCATTGTACCTAGACTATTGTTTGTTGCAGCCAGCACAATTTACTGATTGTAGCCCCACAGTATTCTGAAAAGACTTAAACATCCTTCACCATTTCACCACACCACTGCATCACCATTCCAAGGAGTACATGCGGATTGAAAAAAATCCATTGATTTTTTTATGCGGGTATCAGATAACAAACGGATAATAAGTATAATTTTTTACATTCAAGTTTTTAATACACATTATCTGTACTTGATCCGACTCTTAATTATTTCTAACTATCACATTGCTGTTGCAAAGAAATAATAAGAGAAAGAGAACACTAAGAGAGAGAAAAAAATGCTAAAAATAACTCATTTCTGAAATTTTTTTTCCCGAAACATATTCCGTGTTGTTGAATGATTTTTTAGAAATACATTTCGTATATGTATTCCGGAAAACACATTTCAGAAGATATGTTATGAGTTCCTAAGAGTTTTTTTTCGAAAATTCCATTTTGGAGAATTTATTCCAGAACAAATTTTATACATTTCAAAAATTATGTTTCGAAAGTTTTAAAAAAATTTGTAAATACTTACGAAATATGTTATTCAGAAGTCACTTTTCCCACGAATGTAAAGTGATTATTTCGAAAGTTTGTGGGGTGGGCAAAGAACTTTAGGGTATCCAGAAAGTAAAAGTTTTGTATTTAATACTTATGGGCCTACAAAGAGCCAGCAAATCTACCTGACCCAACCGGGCCATCTAGCAGTGCGGAACCCTAGTCGTGCCTAAAATGATAAAACCCTAAATTGCATCTATAAATCATCGCCAATTTCATTTTATCTCCAAGAAGATCTCACTGCTGTGACGAATTACAGTTTCGCTTCCGTTCTCGTTTTCTGTGTGATTTTCGTGCTATTTCGTTCTTCTTTTTTATTTTGATACATTTCGTTCTGTTTTAAACAGTTCCGTTCCCGTATACTGTGGTGTTCTTTTCTCGTAAAAATTATTCTGCCATTTTCTTATGTATGTCGTAAAATGCTGGGTCTGTGATGAAGATGTAACAGTGCTAGAGGCGACACTCTTTTTGTGTTCGTCGATGACGGCGCAATTATCCTCTAAGAAGTTCTGAGCTCAACATTCGACCTTTTAAATTTATTTGCGTTACTGTTTAATTGTTTGTCAATGGTATATGGGTTAAATTTCTTCTGTAATTATTTGATTAGTACTAGTTTAGTCTGAAGGGAAAAAGGTAAGCGAAGTGATGATAGCAATTCATTCGTCTGTCAATCCGCTGATACTGCGTGATGTTTATATGAATCCCGACAGGTTCTGATCGCTGTCTTCATTCCCTTTTTCAAAATTCTATACGTTTTTTCATGTCTTTATTTTTTTTAGGTTTTATTTTTGTTGCGCTGTATGAATTTGAGTGTTTTTGTTTTGGCTGCTTTTCAAAATTGAAATTGAAAATGGGCATGTGATGAATCTCATAGTTAAATGGGTAATTTGCGTCTGAAATTTTCATTGATGCTATCACCTTGGAGAACTGATGCTCTATTTTGTAACCTCTTAACGTGATTGATTATTATGCGTTTATATCTTTGTTTGAATAATGATAACTCTCTTTACGTATGACTCACTTTTTTTTTTTTGTAGATTATTTGATATTTTCGGAGGGGAATTTGAGGAAGAAAACTGGGTATCTACTTGTATTACGATATTTGGAGATCAAAATTGTACAGAAGAAAGGAATAAAGAAACTTTTACACTATCCAATGGAGATCAAAATTGTACAGAGAAAAGGTTTACACTAACCAAAACAAAACACACGATACTTGGAGATCAAAATTTTACAGAGAAAGGAATAAAGAAACTTGTTACACTTTTCGAAACAAAACGAGAGTAGCTCTGTTTCCTAAAAGTGTGCGTATATACATTTGTTTTGCTTTGTCTACGTATTCTTCCATCTGTGGAGGACAGTTAGTGATATCAATAAATAATAATTTTGCAAATTTAGTTTACAAAGTTTTCTAGATTATTAAAGAGAAAGAAAACGGAAGTCTAAATTTACCGTTAATTAGTGGTTTATATCCAAATTTTGGTGAATATCTAGTATGACCATTCTCCATCTTCTTTAAGGAAAACTTCAGGGTGTACTGCTGCGCTTGTGAAATTCAGGACTCGCTGTACTTCAACATCAATGGAGAATATTGAACTAACTGGTCGATGATCTGAGAGTTTATTTTCTGTACGCTTATATTCGAGTTGCTTTATTCCTTTGCCCAACCATAGTATACGATCGCACCTGTACATAATTTTACTAAGGGTCAAATACTGGATTTACCTTATTCTAATAATCAAATAACAGACAAGATATTCAAACGTTTTCATTTACCATGCTGGGGATCTCTTCTTTTCCCCTTCTTTTGGGTTCTCCCCAATATATATGTCAGAATTAAATTCATACTTGTAAGTTGGAGGAAAGTTTATCAGCCCTTCTTTCCATCCATCGAAAACATGCCCACTGCGTAATTCATTAGTTAACTGCAATTCAATTGAAGTAATTAGAAACTCTCCTTGATAAATTATCATGCGGAAATATGCAAAGGAATCAAGTTGGGTGCTAACAAATTACTTTTGCATCTCTATGTCTGGATTTTGTAGGATGGAAATTTATAGTCTAGTTGTTTCACAATTCTCACCTGATCGTAATTCATCAGTTCATCCCATTTCCTTAAGGCTACCAGCTTTCGAACCTCCTCATCCAAGGTATTGATACGATAATTTAAATCCCCAAACCAGAAAATTTGACTGTTGGCATGGACAAACCCACTAATGAATCCAAGGTGTTCGTAACAACATCACTAAATATATTGCATATATGTCACCGTTTCAGGCAAATACTCATCTTTGGCTATAAGTTTCGACATTTCACTGTAGCAATTTCCAATCAAACTGTTTTTTTATTTTTATTTTTGTTGATATTGAATTTTATAAATATATCCAGCTTAAAATTAAACAAAATATTGTTTGTCAAATTGTTCAGCTTTTAATTATCATAAACCTTTCCAGCAGCATTTTTATTGTCTGTGTAAAAGACAATTTTCAAGGTAAAGTAAAACTTACTCGTGAGATGGGATTGTTTGTGGCTGATCTGTATCGATGTCAGAGGAGAAACAAGTGCGGCGAAGAATTTCAAGAACATCCGAGTTTCGTCTTATTTCTGCACCATCCTTCTGTCCAGAAGTCAAATGCGAACAAACAAAGCACAAACGTGACTGAAAGAGAGACATACTAACTGAAACAGACCCCTGCATCAGACATCGTTTGTTATCACTCACATTCAAAAAGGTTAAGTGAAGTTGTTCTAACAGTAAATGTTCCCGTGAGTTGAGTTTTCTTGTGCTCTACGCATAACAATGCCTATAGCTTGCCACCGATCACATTGCAACACAACAACATAACACGGTGGGAACTGCTTTTTACTCATAAAAAACTGCGACACAGGTGAACAAATGAGGCACTTTTCTCACCTTTGTAGTGTTATGTGGGCAGAGGTGCAATGTGATCAGTGTACATACTTGGTGAAGTGAGATTGTTATGTAATAATGATGTCAAATTCATTTAGAAAAACATGCATTACTCCATTACCTTGTTTCCCATGTAGCCCATGAGACCAACTCCAACTGGAGAAACTTTCAAGTTTTTAATGTGCTTTCTTAACCTCCTCTGCACCCAAATAGATACGTATATTCCCACCATCTGCTTGCTGACGATTCGGACATACTTACGATGTGATTTCACGGCACCTATTCCATTATCTTCGTTGTCATTTGGCAATTCAAGAAAAGCATCGTCTTCCTCATCAGATAACATGTCAGATAACTCGTCAAGGCTATCGATTACTTCCTCAGGCATCACTTGCTGTTCTTTCCATAACAAGCCCAAATTTCCCGAACTATGGTGTGTACGTTTCATTACACTCCCATATTTTGAAGCATTCTCTGTCCGGTTAAAGGCAATTCTGTCTGAGCTGAACACTCTGCGCAATTTTGAACTGGAATCAGTGGGTGGGATTGTATCTAGAGGACGTTCAGGCCAGTAAAGTATGGTCTGAGGATCAATGTCGTTGATTTTCCTCAACTGTAAATTCCTTCCTTTACCAATTATGCTTTTCACTTCCTCTTTTTCTAGCTCAACATTGTTAAATCTTCCCATGTACTCCTCATTCATTGTGTCTAGTAGATTAACATCTATACTGTCTGGTAGAACATCTGCAGAAGCAGAAGCTCTTAGAACTGGAGACGAAGGGGCACTGTAGCTTTTTGGCTTGCTTTCAGGTTGAGAAGATTTGTTCAGAGTTCTTCTAATGATTGCTTCCCAATTCCTGATGGGTGTATTATCCTCTGCCCCAAGAACATTTCCAGCATTCAAGGGGACTACCTCTTGGAAACTGTTGAAAATCAATCACACAGAAGCTATCAGAAGACCACTTTTACAACTAAAGAAGCAGAAATGGACCTCTCATCTGTGTTGAATTTTAACTTTACAGGGTCATCGAAATTTCTGCCAAGAGTACTACTAAGATACTTTTTAATAGAAACCTTTTTATTATTTAATTTATTCAAAAACTACAAAATTATGAATGAAGTTTATTGTTTATAACAGAAGAATATTTATTGTTTCTATTTTTAAAATTAGCTGCTTCCACCCGGATCTTGTTCCATCACTCTTCACCTTACGTTACGTGAATTAAACTCATCGTTGGATTTCAAAAATGGAAAGGCCATCTGACAACCATTTCATAAATAATATATTAGCATCTCACTTAAAATCTGAGGTAAATACAAACCTAGGTGAATATTTTAGGGTCTTGGAATGAACTTAAATTTAACCAAAAGGTATTGCTTTATAAGAACATGATATCTTTCATTTATTGCTAAAAGCAGTCAATGTTTTGGAGATGAACAGGCGTTTCCATCTAAAAACACTTAACTTTTGGTCAATCAGATCACTTGGCTATTGTCGTAGGAAAGGCAGGGTATTGCAATGAATCGGATATTGCATCTATTAATCTTTTTTATGGACTAATCAATACAAAAGTTCAGCAGATCACGCTCAAATCAAACATATAGAACACATATATAGGAGGAAACGAGTGACATTAGTGTACTCAAAAGAGAAACTCCATGAAATTTATCGAAAGAAAAGAAAAAAATCTAAATAGTTCTATCTAAAATCTGGTGAATGATCCAAATATTTGTCAATATGTTGGAAAAGAAAACATAGGACACGGTAGATATATCAAAGCATTAGGCAACTGGAGAAACTACTTACCCAATAATGTAAATATCTGCTGGCTCATTGGTGCAAAGCCAGTCCTCAATTTCAAGATCCTTACATGGAAGTCTTCCAGCAACATTCCATGTGCCAATTGTTACCCTGCAAAATAACGGATTTATCATTCCTTTCATTAATATCATTAAATTAGTTATACATACATAACTTGATTAACACCAGACCTCACTTCCTTTGTATTTATGTATTGAACACGGAGAGTTTCTGATTTCCCTCTTCTATGCCTGGCCTTATAGCCCTCACAAGACGCATCTGAATTACAAAATCAAATCACGCACGATGGGGATTTTAACACTTTCAACTCAATCTGGTGTAGAGAACAGTCAATCATTTGAAGTTTGCAAAATTAGTCTAGCTGGCTTAAAAAAACATTGATCTCATATACTTTGTTGGTAGTAACACATTTGGAATTTGGTTCAGATTTCCTTTTGCTTTTTCTGATGCATGCTTTCACTATAAAGATAAAACATCTATCTATATGTAATTTGTAACCTGCATGTTTATTTTACATAGTTGAGAACAAATGTTTTCTGTATCCTCCTTCCAAAAGGAGAGAACAAAAATACTGTGTTTAGATTCTAGATTTCAAAACAACCGCTCCTATAACTGATTTTGCAACCAGAGCAAGAAATGACAGAAGGTGTGTTAAAGCTGAGAGCACATATTCTTCTTTAAAGCACCATAGTAATGTAAAGGAATAAAGTATTGCCTGATGTTTCACTTGGGAATACGAATGGTGTTTTAAGTGGATTATCTTCACGCACACCCATTCTCGAGTCTTTAAGAGAGCAAACTGAATGAGATTGAAAGAACAAAGAAGGGAAACAAAAATGAAAAGCGAAGAAGATTAAGCTAAACAGAAAAAAGGAATATAGTATAGTCAAAAGCATACCATCATCTTCACTCTCAGTTTCAGTGTCCACTTCATCCTCACTAAAATCATACACCTTTGGCTTTATGTTTAACCATTTCTTCATGACAAGGGAGGGCCAAAAGGCCTGCCGCAATGAGACAAAGTTACAAGTTTCTAAGAAACATATTTATCCTTAAACAGCAGTGAGAGGCACATTGAAGCTTACCTCTGAGCGTCTTCCTCTCCTTGTTTTCATTGCCTCAGGTCAGAGTACTATATTGAACCAACAAGCACTTGTTTTGTGTAGTGTGCAAGATTTTCAGAGCCTGGCTCTTAAATATGGAAACAGTCACTGACATGCTTTGGCCACTATTTTGCAGCCAACATTTAAATAAGAGGACTTCTCAGATTGTAGGAATTAACAAAACAAAGTTGGAGTTTTTTGAGTGCTCAATAGAAGAGAGTTCCCTATAGAGCCAAAAAGAAAAAGACAGAAAATGCGTGACCATATAGCATTATAGCTAGATATCCACAACCACAACTTGCACAAGGAGAAAAGAAAACAAAGAATAATAACAATAATAATACTGGTCCTAACACCACTTCTTAATTGTCTCATAGTAAAACTCAAGAAAAGAAAGTCCTAAAAAAGGTAAACACTTACTAATTGAAATTTCAGGAGATACCTAAAAGAAAATCAAAATAACACCAAACGTCACTTTCAAGAGGAGATACATACAGAACAGCTAACTATACGTTTGCTGTAACACTTCTGCATACCAGTATTTTCCCCCATATTCAAATAATTATGAATATAAATATACTTTCTATATGAAAGATAAATCATGGAGCCAGCACAAACAAATACAAATTCTGGGCCAATAGTATTCATAAAAAAATATCTGAGTAAACCTTTGTGTATTTTATATTATGTTTCATATTCCATTAAGCAACTAGCTAACAGCAAATCTAGCCCAATCCATTGAAAATTCCAAATGGTTCTTTGTTTATCATTGTTAGAACAATAATGCGCATACCTAAATCTGTTACTACTACTGCTACTATACGTGCAGGTTTAGCAGTACCACAAGTGAAGAAATTAATACATCAGCAAATACCAAAACTGATGACGACAGGGACCCAAAAGCAAGGATGCATACAAATCAAGGGTACAATCAGAGCCAAAATCTTCTAATGACCCCACAAAAGAGGAAGGTTCTTTTAAAACAAGGAAGGATCTAATAAACAAAACCAGATTTGTTATTTTATCTAATTCATGCTCAGCTCAAATAGGCAACTAATAACCACAGTGTGAACTGATTAGGATTCATTATGGTAAGCCACAGTCGCCCATATTGTCTTCTCTATCATTTTCATTGCTGCTGTCATTATTATTTATTATTATTTTCTCTCCCATGCAAAAACAGGTTAGGAAATTGACAACCTCTGCATAAAAAAACCGAAAATTGACTATGACAAAGTGAAAGATAGAATGTGAGGGAGGGATTGATGAGAGCATGGATGAGGTAGGGCCAGCGCACTATATGTGAAGAAGATAAACAGTTGAGTTTTGAACTGTGAAAGCATACATTTAATCATATTCTATGTCAATTTGATGAGCAAGTTGGTGGGGAATAACAGATTCACGAGAACCTTCATCTCTCACTCGCAGGTTAGTTACACCTTTCATTAACTGATAACCTAAAATAATGTAACATAAACTTTTGCTCAACAATGGAGTTCACCATGAAAAAGAACCAATTTTCTTACTATGGGCATGTGAACATGTCAAACAACTCTTTCTCTCTCTCTCTCTCTCTCTCTCTCTCAGTATATATATATTGGTAGACATGAATAGGAAGCTAAGGGGAGGATTTATGACAAGTTAATAAAGTGTAAGAACATGTGAATGATTTCTTAATTATGTAGTTTGATTGAATCCAATCATTAAGGGAATTTTTTTTATCTCGGAGTAGGATAGGGGACTATATATGGCTGTCTTACAAAAAGGATAGAGCTTTGTAAAAATTTGAAAAAAAAAGTTAATGGTATTTTTTATTTGAAAACTGTTAAGTACAGTATTGCGTTAAATGTTTGACAAAATAATTGTTAAACTAATATAAATGACATAAAAACATGTTTTCATGAATATAAATATATTGTAAGGAATGGATACTTATAATTTTTATTAGTTTAAGTTTTTCATTTAAAGATGCAATATTTGATTACAAAGTAAACAATTTATCTAAGGTAATTTTTAATGGTAAGTTAGACAAACAAGTTAAGAAACCACTAAAATAACTTGCTAAATAATTATGTTTTTGTCTTTACCATTTTTCTTTTCACTACAGGGCTGTATAACTTTTGCGTTTTATATGTAATCTAAGCATATATTTTTTAAGTAATATTATATATATTTAAAATTAAAGATGTAATGATGTGTTAATAGATAATTGGATGATAATAAAGAATAACATTTTGTTCTACCAAACCTCAAGAACTTGTGGTTTTATGTTCTTAAAAGTTAATAAAAAGAGTATTTGTGACAAGGAAATTTCTTCGATACCAGTGTAGATTAAATCTCACCTAGTTTTGAATTTATAAATGTTTTAACTTTCAAGAAAATGAGACATAAAAAGATATTGATAATTTGACAAATTTTCCAAATTTATACACCTCAGTTATAAAGGAACCGAAGTCATTCTTATGTTATGTTTCGATTCGTCAACAATCTGAGACCGAAAAATATGTAAAATTTTTAATCATATGTCATCAACGGTTTTGAAGATAGAAAACAAATATATGTGTCCTTTGCATTGCATTAGGTGTAATTTGTTGATTTATAATTATAATTCGTTATTTTAAGGTATAACAATGAACCTATTTTTAATTCGGACATCATTGGTAGCTATTTGTGATTTCCATGAAGGACAACATTGTTGTGTGATTTTACTCCTTCCATAAGTCTCCGTCGAACCATATTAGACAAGTAATAAATTGATAAAAATCTCAATGTTATGAACTTTATGTTGGGTACAAACAAAGTCCCACATTAGATAAAATATGAAATACACATGAGTTTATATATACATAAGATACATCCTTTAGTAAGAGGTCTTTTGGAGTGGTACCAAAAGCAAATCCGTAAGGACTTAGCCAAAAATGAGTAATATCTTACTAATGTGGAGATCTATGGATATGCTTGTATATGAAACCTACACAACATCACTTTATCGATTATATAAATTATCCTAAAGCATTCCCTTTTTCATTGTTCAATTGCTGCTAAGGTAAAAAAATCTTGCATTGTTGTTCCTCCAAGTTTTGTATTTTAGTTCATAGATTTATAATTGTTTGATTCATTTTCTTCCTCAATTATTTAGAGTTGTGTTGATATATGTAATTGTCATCAAAATTATGTGTTGATATTATTTAATTTTAAGGGTTCTCAACTTCAACTTTGATAAAAATTAAAGTCTAATACCATTTCTAATTTAAATTAGTATTTAATTTTAAGTGTATTAGACTTGGTTTTGGTTATAAAGGTAGTCTTTAAACATTTTTTTTATATCAGAAAGAGTTTCAACTTGGTTGTTGTATCAACCGAAGCCTAATACCACATTTTTTTAACTTTTATTATTTATTTACGATTCTATAACTGGAATTTTTATACTCTGATTCATCACTAAAATAAAAATGTAACTCTTTTTTATCTTGTTCGAATGAGTTTCGATTACAGAATTGAAATCTAATATATAAAGTTGTTAAAAAAATATTTTTCTATAACTTGTGACAAAACTTTTTTTTACTAATGCAAATAACACATGCTACACTCTCACAACTCTATATATTTACCATGATGTTTTTGGGAGTTACCATGATATAAATTCATTAAGTCAGTGGAGTTATGCAAGAAAGAATAAAGACATAAGCATGGTGACATATAACGTTGGGTGTTTCTTATGTGGTTGTTGCTTTCCTATACATTATTGAGGGTTTGTAATGGAAAACAAGACACAACTGCTGTGTTTCCTTCCCTTCCCCGCAAGCCTTTCCTTCCAAATTTGTCTTTCATACTTCATTCCTCTATTTCCTGCATCACCACCACATGAGAAAACAATATAGAGGCACCATTTTTTCTCTCCAAACTTGTCTTTATTAGCACTGTGATAAGCTTCATCTTACACTGTTTCTCTCCATTGTGATCATCGGGTGGTCCTTCTTTCGCTATTCAACACAGTTTATTGTTTTCAATCACTATTAAGGTGATGATGATTTCTTAAAAAAACTTGAAGGTCAAATTGATTAATAAAGTAGATGTGAATACAGCCACAACATGTACTACTAGTTAGAAGTCAACGGATTTGAAAATAATTTAGTGATGAAAACTTATTATTCACCATTAGTCACCAATTTTTTACAGTCACACATATATTTTCTTGACGTTGATTTTAATTTTTCTGATACTTAGAAAGACTGAATGAATGATTAAACTTAAGTCGTAATATATAGATGCAATTCCTAAAATAAATATCTATTTGCATAATTACAGGACGAGTCATAACGTTTGAAAAGTACAGGAAAACAATGGTGACATACAGAGGATGTGAGAGCCAATACCGAAGAGATAGAGTTACGATGAAAGAGTATTACGAGTTTGGCAATTTGAATTAAAACGCATTAACTTATCATAAGCTTTATTAGCATGGTCCCAAATTTGCAAAATGAAAGTTGCAAAGTATAACCTCCAAAACATAATCAACAAATATCAATTAATCAAAGAAGTAGTAGTTGGCATTAAAATATGATTAACACGTTTAAGGTAAAGTTTAAATTTAAACGGTGAGATTTGTGATGCAATTAATTTTGGTAATGATAACTTGGTTGGCTGGAGCTGTCTGTTCGCATCATTGAAATTCAGTGACCACAATAACAATTCGATTACGGCTGTGCTTTGAATGGCATACTTATCATTTTACGTTTTCTCCTATTTTTGGCTCCTCGCAACTCTGTATCAGAAATTATTAATCAAAATATCTATTAATATTTCAACTTTTAATTAGTAATCATTTCGTCTATCTAATATCACAATTCAACTGCACTGACATACCGACGCAGACCAAAATACCTTATTACACTGTTGAAAGTGAAAGTTGTTGACTTCCTGCAACGGGTTTCTTTCATTCAATCAGAGGCTTGCTTTACTTATCTAAAACCTATGGTTCGTCAAAATCAAATTAATAATTATTTATATTATGTAACATTCATAAGAAAGAAAATTATATTCACGCAAGAATCGTATACAACGATTGACGTGAGAGAAACACGAGAAGAAAAGAAAGAGAAGTGAAAGATGTGATGGAGAAAAAAATAAAATAAAAATCGGTTTAAATACGTTTTAAATGTGTAATCAAATTGTACATTGATTTTAATTATAAAATGCATAACAAAATTTGTTAATTTTTACAATAATTACGTAAACTTATGTCTAAGATAATTTTTAATTACTTGATCGAATAAAGTTATTGAAAATAATGAAAGTTAAATCCTAAAAGAGA